CTACTCTTAAATGTGCATATGACCCAGAACTCTGGGAGAAATTGGGTTTCTTCGAGGTTTTGTAGAAGCTGATGAACGTAATACTGTGAGCTTTGATAATAAGCTGGATTTGAAGCTGTGTTTCCATGATTTCTGTGTCTCGAGTGTTGCCTGAAGATGTTTGTTGCTCAGATATTCTTCTGGACAATAGTAAAGTTAAATCTTTTTGGTAGTGTTTTAAAAAGCATCCAAGAAACCTGCAGCACTGCTAGCCTGTGTTACTTGTTTAATGATATAATTGTCAGAGAGTTTGTTTTTTCATCCCAGCAAAACAGCTGGTAATTTTATTAGTATGTTCTGAAAGTGGATGATGTGTCAGACTTTCCTCAGTTTTAACAGTGCCACTACTGACAAAAATCAGAGGGAGAAAGTGAAATACCCAAAAAGTAATTTAAAGTCTTATAAGGAAGTCTTTTAAATCCTTTAGGAAAAACTTCTCGAAACGTTGAAAGAACTCTAGAAAACATTGTCTTTGAACGCAAAGTAAAGGCACCTACACAAGGATAATAGGATGAAGAGGAAAGAAAGAAGACTAGCAAAGGGTATTTGTTCCAAAACATTCTCCTTTATGGATATTTTGGAGTCTTCATTCAGTAACACTCTGATTTTCTTCCTAATTTAAAAAGAAAAAAAAACACCTTAGTTCTGTTTCCTTCACAGAACATCTACCAGTAAGAAGTTCCCTTTTCGCTTACTAGTGGGATCTTTTGAACACATTTTAAAATTAATCTGTAAGGTGAAGATTGTTGGGGTTTTTTTTCTATAGCTCCATCTTGCTCCATTTATCAGCCAGTCTTCAAGCCACTCTGCATATTATCTAAACCAAGTTGGCATAAATCAAATTTAAACTTCATTTAAATACTTACCCAAACAAACAGAAGGCCCATTACATATGGTTTTGTTGCAGGGACCAGGTAACAGTGAGGTTTTGTTCATCCCCAGCACTGTTTTAGTTAAGCCAGTGCAAACCCACCCTGATTCCAGCTTGAGTGACTTACTTTGCTTTAGTATTAACCTGTTTCAGATGGACTTGAGTGAAAGCAAGAGAATGTGCCTGTGTGGGGGGGGTTTATGGCTCAGAACCCTCCCTTTACTTTCAGACTTTTGAATTGGTGCAGCCTTTTGTCAGTGGACAGCATATCTTTGTTTTAATGGGAAAAATTAATGGGAATTTTATGGGAAAATTTAATGGGAATTAATAAACTAGGGAAAAGTGTTTTCCATTGAGACCATTCCAGGGAGAGGTGCTGCTCTTCAGCTGGTACTTGTGGCATCACTTTGTAACAAATTCTGAGGTGTTTGACTTGTACAACTTAATGTGAGAAATAGCATCATTTGTGAGCAGTGATTAAAGCTTTTAAAGTCAGGTTTTAGGAAAGGCACTGATTTATGTAGTCGGGAAGCGAGGCAAGTCACAAATGTAAGTTAAAGAAATTATGAGTTCTCTAATTTCCATTAAAAGGCTTCATTAAATAGAACATAAAACAGACCATATGACTGATAGCAGGAATAGATCAAGATTGGGAAAAACTGAGTCAACACCTAGTTATTAATAATACAAATGGTTTAAAGGAAAGGCAGGGATGGTAAGGTCCTAAACATCCTTTCTGTCAGGGATGTTTTTCTACATACTAAGAATCTGTTGGCTAAAAATGTTTTAATTTAAAGTCAAGCAGCTGAGCTTGATCCTGAAAGATTAACTTGGTTAAAATCTTTGTGTCATCACCGACCGAGAATATTGCATAATAATACAAACTTAAACCAGACACCATAAATGTCTGGGCATGTTTCCAGGACTAGATCAGCTGAGATAACACTCAGTTGGATCTGCTCTCCGAGGACTCCTTAACCATGCAAGGGAAACCCCATACCTGTTGATATACCTGCTATGGAAGCCTTAGGAATTTGGGGAAGGGAGGAGACAGCCCTTTGCATACCTTGGTCAGCAGGGGTAGCCCATCTTCCTGGGGCTGGACAAGGTCCTTGAACGGGGATGTGCATTTGGGGGGTGGCTGTTGGGAGTGTCACCCTGCCCAGGAGCCTTGGGAGTGCTCAGTTCTTGCAGGAGCTGAGCAGGGACAGGTTTTTTTCCATCCTCCCAGCATTGTGGTAACCACAGTGCTCGGTGCTGCCATCCCCAGGGCTGCAGTGCCCTCTGGAACAACAGGCTGAGGTTTAGACTTTAAATTATATCCTTTTCTGAGTTATATGCAGAAAAAT